ATTCTAAAATTTAGATAGAAAATAGCTATCAAAACAATGTCTGCTCTGAATTATTTGTTGGGTCTTTCTTTCACTGTTCCGTTTTCCGATGGCTGCGATGGCACAATATACTTTGGAGCCATTGGCAATTCTGCTACCAAATATTTTTGGCCGCTGTTATTAGCAGTTAAAACTGCGTGCAAATAGATAACGACTGTTTGCAGTTACAACTGTGAATACACATTTCTGAAATAATAGCAGTCAACACTGCTTATAAGCGCTATTTCATTATTTGCCGTTGCAACTGGCTGTAAGGCTCTAAAAAATAATCGCAGCCTCAACTGTTCATAAGACACATAGTACTATTTGCAGTTCAAAACTGCAAACAACGCCAAATCACTATTTGCAGTCAACAAACTGAAAATGTTTGGATTCTCTTAACAGAGTACTGTGTCGCACTAATTTCTCAATGCTTGTAGCTGCTCTGACCGAATTGGGTATTTCAGAGAGCTGGGCGGCGTTAGTAGCCCTAGGCGGCGTGCGTGAAGAAGAGTGTATTTCGACTAACGGAGGAAGAAGAATAGCGGGTAGAACATAAACGTGACCGATTGGCCGAGAGCTTCCCGCCTCTACGTCACGCCCGGTAGTGGCCAATCAGGAACCTTTATGTTCTACCCGCTATTCTTCTTCCTCCGTTTGTCGAAATACACTAGTAAAATGGAAGGAAAAGGGGTGTATCCAGCGACCGAGGTCCTGTACTATTTTTACATCGAGCGCCGCTTGCGCTGAGCGTACCCCCAACCACCGCGATAGTTGAGCTAGCGAGCGATGTACCTGATTGGTGAATTTGCCCAAAACAATTGACTCGCGGGGGGAATTTGTCAACCGGAAACCTCCATTAGGTCAGGGGGTGGGGGGTGCTCAGGAACAAACGAACGGACGAGGTGGATGAGCGAACGGGAGCGTCGAACGCGTCATAAGAGCCAATGGGGCCCGTTCGTTCCCCGCACCCGTTCGTTCACGCGTTCACTGCCTGTTCATTCGCCGGCCTGGTTCCTGAGCATGAGCAACCCCCCTGGGGCGGCTGGCCATGCGCAGCCCGTCTTTCTCATTGCGGAAGAGCTCGGCGCCTGCGAGACTCAGAGTAGGCCGACCCGCAGTGCACTGCAGGCGAGAAGTTGCCTACCTAAAAGGCGTCATTTGAAAGCTTGCGCTGACGAAGCTCGGCCAGCCGTTTCGTTACGGCGAATGACGGGCGCACTTTCGGGACGATCCCCTACCATCAGAGTCTCCGACAATACATTCGGAAATGGCGATAGAAATTTAGGGATTTATATCATGTCATGCCGTGCAGGGGGAGGACAGGACTGCCGATGTGACTGAGAGGGGTACATTTCTGCAACTAGTCACAGTGTAGGACCTGGACTGATCACTTTCCCAGTCACCAGTCAGTCGGAAAATCGGGAAAAATCACCTCCAGAAGCTCCAGTCACTTTTCTGGTCATGGCCAGCCATATTCCAATTATCCAGTCACCTAGTCCGATTGGACTACAAGTCAGAGGTGATGTACCCCTCGGTTATGACCCGCTCCCGATTGCCAAAGCTCGGTTGCATCGACCTACCCTTGTTAGGCCCGCAACTGAGACGGCCCAGCACTTCCCTATGCCTCCGCAGGTCTATAGTCTCTCTACGCATGTCGCCCCAAGTAGCAGGTAGGAAGCTGGTGAGATGCCTTCAAAACCTACGTGCTTCTCAAGGGCATCAACACTTTTGCTACCACTCTCACCCAAGCCAAGCTTTCTTGATTTAGACCCTTAAGTTGGGGGGCGGGGGGGCTCATTTTCTTTCCACATATTAAAAATAATACAAAGAAAAAGTAATGCAACAAGAAAATGTAATTACAAAAAGTCTTCTTTTAAAATTTACAAGACGTTCATTTCAACAAATTTACATACCGATAATTAAGTAGAAAAGTCGAGTACTTGATGTAAACTTTCAGAACAAAAGCATCCAAACGCAAAGTACAAGAATGGACTGAATTGAAAAACAAAAGGACAATAAAATTACAAGCAAAGAACACTCTAAAATAATGATGAACAAATGGAACTCAAATAAGTTGAGTGAAAATTCTTATAAAGATTAAAGAAAAGTCAAAGAATCTTTTAAAAGGCCAATCCCTGATAATAGAAAAAGTTCTGATAACAAAAAATAAAAATTAGGGTGTTAGAAATTCGTAGGAGTTTCTGATCCGTTTTGGTTTTTGAGTATTTCGGGCAGGGCGCTTGTTTGAGCCTCTTGAGTCAGCGGCAAGAGTTGCTACATTTGGAGCAGGAGCACCTGGAGGAAGCAGTGACATTGTTAGTTTCATTTCAAAATACAGTAACAGTCAGAACAATACACTTTTAAAAATTCAAGTGAGCGAAACAGAAGTACATACAAACTACAACTCAGAAAAGTTTGTTAGAAGTTTTTCACGACTGAAGTAAAGAAAGAATGTAAGATAAAGAAAATAAGGCTGTGAATTCAACATTAGAATTTACGAAACAAAGGAAGTTATAGCCTTCACATTTTAGTAATGAAGGTTTGCTAACCACTCTCTCTCAGCAAGCACAGCACATATGTAACTGCACTTAAAAATGCTCTCTAAATATTCAGTATGCAACAAATGAACATTTTGAAAGAATCAGTGCTACTTGGCTCCGTGACAGAAATAAGGAAGAACTCAAACCAAATAATAAATCAGCAACTCGGTGCCTCACTCACAGAACGGCAACCATGCTGTTTCAAAAGAACAGAAAAGCAAGGAGGGCAAACACTTAGGCTATAACTTGACAGTTAGACTCACCAAATATTTTCAAGTTCATTCTGAAGGTGTCCTGAAAAGGACAGTGTAGTCCTGATAAGGACTGTGTAGTCCTGATAAGGACTGTGTAGTCCTGATAAGGACTGTTGGATCCTTCATAAACCTTGAGCAGAAAAGACAAAACGGTTTTTCCCCAACTCCCCACCCCACCCTCAGATTATTGGGAAGAATTTGAAATCTCCACATTTCTATATTAGTGTTGCTCATAAAACATTAACAACAACACACATAAATGTGTAGTGTTTTTAATGCTGATAACAGGGCACCACATTTGCATGAAAGTGAGACAATCAAGCTAAAATCAAACTTTGAAGCACAATAATACTAAACTTAAAAGAACAAAATGCTTATGCAAAGCATATCTTGATTTTGCAGGGCTCGAAAGTTAAAAGATCATCACAATCATGAAAATGTGGAGGAAAATACACACCTTATAAACACAAAGTAAATATTACCTCGTTTCCGTTGAGTTACAAATTTTCTTTGCTCTGGCGGCACTATAGGAGACAGTGTTTTGGACGGGCTCACATTACTTAAAGTATTTACCCATCGGAACTTTTTGTTTGAGCAGCTTTCGTCAGGGCATAGAAAATACTCCCTCCCCAAATTTGGACCAGACCGACAAGTTTTCCTAAAAATTAAAAATTTTGAGCTATAACTAGTAAATTGTTCAGTACAACACTTAGTAAGTCACTTGTGAAAAAGAGCAAAACTCAGTCTTACCTCTCACAAATTGTGCCACAGGAGCATTTAGGGATATAGAACTGCCTGACACCTGAAGGAAATTCCTGGGCAGCCTGTATCTCCTGTACAGCCGGGGTATCCAACATACTAGGGTTACCTGGCATTGCAAGGGTATCCTCCAGTGTAGGAGTATCCTGATGGGGAGCACTATCTCTTGTGGCATCAAATTCAACTGTAAGAATATTACAAGTAATAAGAATTCATTCAATCGGTGATAAATATCTACAATTTTGAAAAATACAACATACTTTTAATTTGACGATTTTCAGGAGGGCTAGGAGTATACTCATCATCTGAGGAGAGTACAATAACTTCGTTACAATTAGAAGCACTAGGGATTCTTTGGCTAGCAATAATACCTTCATCTTCGGAATGTGAAGATTCATTGATTAAGTTATCTGGGTCATCCTCTCTTTCCTCCTCTTCAGCGGATGGCAACATGTCATCGATTAAGTTATCTGGGTCATCCTCTCTTTCCTCCT